CAAACACTATGTTTAATCACAGGAAAATCCATATGTACATTAGAGAAAGAAAGAAAGAGAGAAGTATGATTGATTTGTTCCTGGGTGATGACCGACTGCGAAAACAGGTTATGGATACACGAGTGTTCAGGGGTGCTGACCTGAGAACGGATCACTATCTAGTAATTACTAGATTTAGGGGTTTGTTCGCGGGTTGGCGCTACCGGACGGCAGTAACAAAACCACAGTCGGTCTGTCGCATCCGAAGCTGGAAGCTTCAGGAAGCGGATACTAAGGACAAATATCACACGAAGGTAGCCGAAAACCTTGACACCATCGATGGCAGGAAAGAATGTGTGGAGAGAACATGGCAGAACCTTAGGGATGGAATGGTAAGTGCAGCGGAAGAAGTATGTGGAACGACAAAAAGAGGTAGTAGTAAAAGAAGAGATGCATGGTGGAATGATGAAGTGAGAGAAGCTGTAAAAAAGGAGAAAAAAGCATGGTTAGACTACTTGGCCTCTAGTAACGATAAGCATATGCGAGAGATGATGAAAGAAAGATATAAGCTGCAGAAAGTTCATGTGAAAACACTGATTGAGGAAGTACGTGAAAGGTGTAGAATAGAAGCGGACGAAAGGTTGTCGCACAACTTTAAGGAAAGCTCCAAACTCTTCTGGAAAGAGGTTGGAAGGTAACGGAGTGGTGCGACAGCCTTAAGAATGAACAAAGTGCTTTCGAGAACCAATGATGTCCTCTCAGAAAAATCGGACGTCATGCAGCGATGGATTGAATTTTATAGAGAAATGTATGCGTGTCATGATCTTAGTGAAGGATCCGGGGGTGACGCCGTGACTGGCACGCCAGACACGGACCTCGATGACACTGAGGTTATCAGCATGAAAGAGATTGAACGTGCGATTAAAAGTTTGAAATGTGGTAAGGCTGCGGGACTAGACAGAGTTACTGCTGAAATGGTCAAGTACGGTGGGCCTCGCGTCTGGGACAGCTTTCATCTGCTGTGCAATTTGTGCTGGCGGACGGGAGGTGTCCCGGATGATTGGCGATCCGCGGTCATTGTGCCTTTATATGAAGTAAAGGTTCACATTTTGACTGCGGGTGCTATCGGGCAGTCAGCTTGACCAGTTTAGCAAGCAAAGTTTACTCGAAGGTTTTGACACGTAGGATGCAAGAGAAATCGGAAAGATTTTTATGGGAGGCACGATGCGGATTTAGACCTGGAAGAGAATGCACGGATCAAATGTTTTCTCCCCGCATGATCACGGAGAAGCTTCTGAATGTTAACCAGAAGATTTTCTGTGCTTTTGTGGATCTGGAGAAAGCGTTTGATAAGGTTATATATAGGAAGAAAATGTGGGAACTGTTGCTGGAATATGGTGTGGATGGTCGATTGTTAAGGGCTGTGCAGTCACTTTACTATGATTGTAAAGCCTGTGTGCGGGTAGGGCATGACCTGTTACCCATTTTTAGCGTCCAAGCGGGCGTAAAACAGGGTTGTGTCATGTCTTCCTGACAGTCCATACTGTATCTCGACAGCTGTTTACAGAAGCAGAAAAATAGCTATTTGGGTGTGAAATTGGGTGACATTAAAGTTAATTGTCTGCTGTATGCTGATGATGCTGTGCTTATTGCACCATCAGAAGCAGAACTGCAGGAATTAGTCACGTGTATGAAAGAGGAATGTGAAATTAAAGGTCTCCGTTTAAATGCTAATAAAACTAAGGTTCTGGTATTTGAAAAGAACGAAGAGAGAACAAAATGTGAAATATGGGTAAATCAGGAATGTCTAGAACAGGTAAATGAAATTGTATACTTGGGGAGTGCTTTCAGCCGGGATGAAAGATGTGATTTAGATGTGGACAGGCGTGTCGCTGCCGGGAACAAAGTCAATGGTGCCCTGAATGCGTTAGTCAAAAGGCAAGGTGTAGTGAAGAGTGCACGCCTTGCAATACATAATGCAGTGTTGGTGCCGACTTTGTTATATGGCAGCGAAACCTGGGTATGCCAGAAGAAACATAAAAGCAAGTTGAATGCAGTGGAGATGCGATCTCTTCGTAAAATGTGCGGCGTTACCATTGCCGACCGAAAGCGAAACGAATAGATTCGCAATATGGCAGGATTGAATGATGACCTTATCACAAAAATTGATAGGGGCGTACTCCGATGGTTTGGGCACGTTGAGCGAATGAGTGAAGACCGAATGGTGAAGAAAATATATAGCGCGAAAGTAAATATTAAAAGGTGTTGAGGTAGACCGAGACTAACTTTCGAAGACCATGTGAGCAAATTACTCGAAGAGGGGAAGGTCAAGAGTACTCGGATACCTAGACGTGCATGTATGAAGAAGTTAATGAACCTGAAAGAAGCGAAAGAGATATGTAAGGATCGTGACACTTGGCGATCTGTTCTCTCTGGCTACCCCGTTAGGGATTGTGCGTGAAGATAAGTAAGTAAATTAAAAAATATTTATTTGAGGCTGATCTTAGTGACAACATCGTCTATTTTAAAACGGTATTCAAAGAAAAAAGTTACAAGTTTGCAAAAAGTACTAGATTCGCTGACAGAGACATCTATGGTAAGTAAATAAAACAAATAGGTCCTAGAAAAGATAGGAATTGAAGCGAGCGAACTTTTAAAAAGACAATTCCATCCATAACATTTATAATAAATAAATGAATAACAACTAAAAGGCCATTTGAAAGTTTTCACCTATACACATTTTGAACTTAAAAACAATAATTCTAGTCTGAAAAAGATAAACATCGATTAAGACAAATACAGTAAATGTACAAAATTAAACAGGAGAGCACTCAACAAAAGAATATTTTCGCTAAAACATTTTTGATTCGAAAAACACTGGTATTAAACATTTCCAAGTCAACGCTATTGGAAATGTCGTTAAAAGTTCTAGCACGTATCATAAAATAATTTTGCCTGTGTTTAGTCCGGCTATACATAGGAGTAATAGTGTTCTGTGGGGTATACTGCACATGGAGCAAGCGAGGCGTTCTTGATTGGGGAACTCTTGTTGTAAATCCTAACTTACTCAGTAGCTCCGGACCGTCAATATTACCATTAGCCAAATTAAAAAGATAAATCATATTTGTTATGCGCCTACGTTCGTAAAGAGGCAAAATACGATTTTTTTTTACACCGCGAAATGTAATTTTCAGTACGTATAAATGGTTTTTGTTTATTAAATATGATTAACCGTTGACTAAATGTTACCCTGTTTTATATTTACGAGTATATTAAAATAAAAATACATTTTAATTGATATTTTAAAGCTTTCTTCTCATTTTAAATTGAACTACATACGTAATCCACGCGACCATTTACGTTATTTTATTAGGTACTACCACTGCATGGTTAAGTATAGTCAGGTAGTCTTGTTAATCTTTTATTGTTTATGTGTAGCTAATTTAAGCTAGTATCCTAATAGTCTAAGATCCCGCTGCAAAATCACTACGTTCGTTACCCTGTGAGTCAAAATTTTTATATACGTTTATGAATAGGAGAACACACTGATAACACCGCAGCCAGTCAAAAGTAGCCGCAAGTATTTTTAATTAAATTAATGTTAATTATTATTCGAAAAAAATATCGTTCACTTGTTTTTTAAATAAAATATAACCCCCATCATAACAATGCATGTAAAGAATTCTAAAATTCACACGTGGCAGCAATTACCTCGCAGCCAGGTATAAACAGGCAATATTTTGATCTCTCTTATACGTTCATGACTTCACAGATGTTTTTATATCAAATTAAAGCCAATTTTTTTTTCTAATACGATGATATATTGCAGCCGGTGAAAAAAGAGCCGCAAATTAGGAGTGCTATCTGTTAAAAACGCGAGATATCCGAGATAAAGTGAGAGAGAGTTCGCGTGCAACGCCACTTGTTAGGTGAGGATGGCGAATGCCAGCTATGTGAGTATTTAAAGTCATTGCACATGCGTCGATGGATAGTGTTCTCATGGTTCTCAGCCTGCGGCTCAAAAAATAGTAGGAACGACTTTACATTTACTCCAAAATTATAATAACTAATGCCACTCTCCCCGATGAAGCTTAATATTCTGGTAAAATCGCGGTTGTCAGTTCAAAGTTTTAATGGCGTCAAAGGTGCTGTTATTGGAAATATATCATTTTAATGCATTTTCGATACTTAATATTTTATATCAATATGTCGAACAAACAATATCTATACATCGATACATTGATTTTTTTCCACGAGCCTATAAATAACACCCTATAATTTTTGTATAATAAAAAACTTCTGTATTACACAATATGCGGGTCATTAAAGTGTAAATGATACGTTTTCATTGGACAGTACTTTTCACATACATACAGTAGAGATGGGCAAGTGAATATAATATATATAATAAAAAAAAATATATATATAAACACACATATATATATATATATATATATATATATTATAAAGCGTGGTAATTATCGATATACCGTCTTGTTTTGCATGATATAGGATAAGGCCTAAAGTAATGTTACTGGACGCTTTTGTACCTGCATTTGTTGCTTAATCGATTAACACATTATTTTAAAATATATTGCGTCTGATGTGAACTCGATATTTTAAAATAAACAACATATATCTCGTTTAAAATATCGAATATTGATATATCGCGATTAAAAATATCGACGATATATTTGTATTGATATGTCGATATTTTTTCCAAGCCTAATTTTCAGGTTTTGCTTTTCAGTTTCGTGTAATTGTACTCATTGCAAATTGAAATCTACAGTCTAGGAAATTATGTTTTAAAAATTGATATGAATTTTTAAGTTAAAGGATATTATGGATAGGTATTGGTATAATAGTGGTTGTATAGTACACGTAAAGTATATAGGGTAGTGGGATTACATATACCACGGTTTGATTTATTATTGAATTTTCGAGTCAGTATTTTAAATATAATCTTAATGTAAATTCAATATTTAAGCTATCTTAGGTTGTGATGTTACTTTTATCCTGATATGGGAAAGTTTAGCACTTACAGGTACTTGGAGGTAAGTCTATCAAAGCAGTGCTTTTTATTTATTTGTGTTTTCCCCATTAAGGGCATTTAAGAATATAATAATATTTTTTGTACGTCTATATCCTTTAAATAAAACTAATTTTACGGATTTTATCAAGTTTAATTTTATGTATATATCCACTCAGAACAAGCTTACTGTCTTGAAGTTTTGTAGTAGTATGCTTAGATTAGGTTTTAATTTTATTAATTATAGGAACCAAGTAAGTTTTTTCATTTCTATAGCATCATGATCCTGGGTTAATGTTCTTTCTTTATGATTTATAATTTATCAATATATTGGCGGAGGCTGTCAAAATAATATAATTAGTTTTATTATTTAATTTGGAGTCGTGGTAGCTCAGGGGCTAAGAGCTCGTTGTGAATTTCACCGTACGCGAGGCACCGGGGTTCGATTCCCGCCATCACCAATGAAATTGCTTATTACAATTTTAAGTGCTGCCGTTGTTTTCCTTCACCACATGCTTGGGGGTTAAGAACATAGTGAGGAATGCTGTGTGGCTGAGAAATATGGAAAAAAAAGTATTTTAAAGACATGTTAAGTTTGCCGACACATATTTGGGCAACGCAGCATACATTTCCTTGCTTTAAAACCGTGTCAGATATGAGAGGAGGCCTGTGCCCAGCTGTGAGATGTATATAGGCTGCAACTTTAACTTTTTAACTTGGTTTTATTCTATGTGAAATATTTGCCAAAAAATATAAGAATTTGAAATAATATTATATCATTTACATATATCTATAGTAAGTAGATGTGTTTGTATGCAGATTTATTGTTGTATATTCGTAGTGGTATAAGTCCTACCCAAAATCATAAAAAAAGCAGTTGCCAACCTGTCCACAAGTGTGGCAACTGTGGCAAAATATGAGGCATTCTATGCGGCAGGCCTATGTTCAGTAGTGAACTATTGAGTATTAATATAATATAATAATACTGTAATAATAATGATGATGATGATGATGATAAGATTAATATTTGACTTTTACTTAGAGTTTAATGGATAGTCAACAGCTTGTAATTGTTCTACTGCTCGATCAGTTAATGAGTGTAGTGTAGCGAATGTAATCTTACGAGATTTTAGACACAGCCGAGATCTCGTGATACTGGGTCTATGATCTTGTCTCGTAAAGCTTGAGATCTTTCAAAATCGTGTATTATTTAAGGAAAATGTATGAAAATGCTATTAACTTCATTTACTGATTATCAACATGTAAGATAAAAATAAAACATGCAAGTTATGTGGTATCATCAGTAATCCATTTTATTACAAAATAAAATACTATAACTGTATATTTTACCATTAGATTATAATTTCAGTCTTAAAATCTTATATTATAATCACTTCCTTTAGGTAACTTTGTTTAATCAGCCTCCCGCAGCAGTAACTAGTTTTAGGAATTAGTATTATTAGTTAGTATAAATCTAGTAAAATTAAATTGAACTTCTCCATTTCCCAAAAAAATAAATAAATGAAGCAGTTAAGAGTAATAGGAATTGTTTTAGTAATGAAATAAATAGGAGATTTTAATTTGTCAGTCAGTTAAAATTTTGTCATGCTGTATTTTAAATGGAAAAAGTTAGTTTGGAAAATCGCTTCTCAAAAAACAGCATATCAAGGGTTTCATCTCACGCACAGCCACACTGTGATATCCGTGGATTATGCTGTCTCGCTCACTCTCGCAATATTGCGAGATCTAGTACAGTAATTGTACGAGACTCAGTCTCATAAATATGAACGAGATTGCATTCCCTAATGTAATTGTATAAATATTAAAGGCAGGATATGCCAACATTTTCTCCAATCACCAGCATACAGTGCTTCCAGCTGACTGACAGTTGAGGCCTTGGCTGTGGTGTAAAATCAATCCAATAATATTTAACTTTGCCCTCACTGCCAAGTAATGCTAAGCTAGTTTTTTCGAATTTCTTTGTTAAAAGTAATGACCTATAAGTGGATTTAGTAAGGCTGTTAATGTGGTAATTGCCAATATGTCAGTAAATCTGTAAATTAATTTTGTTAATTTCTTCATAATTACTTATAATACACATATGTCTGACTCCAAGCACCTGTATATTTGGATGGAGATTTAGTGTTAAAATTTGGACTTCCCAAAATTGAACCTGTTGCAAATGGGAAGTCAAAATATATTTCTTTTTTTTCAGTTAAAAGATAGTACCACAACACCACATATCAGCACAAGAACAATATCTTTAAAGCAGCCCAGGAGGTTAAAGAAATTTTTTATTCTACTCATCATATTAGCATTATGCGCAACATACTTTATGGGTAAGTAAAATATTATTTCATATGCCGATATTCATCTTCTTGTTTCAACAGAATATTAAATGTAATCTATTTATGTGGAAGGCCTTGTGTGATTTTTTTTTCTTAATGATTCTCCTTCTATGCATACATCTTTTTCTTGTGGCAATACTGTCTTTGATGATACTAGTTTTGTTCAAACACAAAAATGACTTGCTGTATGAAAGCTGTTAGGTAATTGTTATTACTCTACCGTATTTAATTAGGTGATGGCCAACAGAATCTTACTGATAACAACTGAATATAAAACAATGTGGTTGACACACTTGCCTGCCACGTGTGGCAACTATGGCAAAATCTCTATGACACAATCTAAGAGTTCAGGCAGTTATGGTGATGTGATGATTTAGTGAGGATACAATTTGAAAATGTTAATAACTAATCTCAAAGTTACAATAACACACACGCTTGCTAGTGTTCTATAAAACCTGGTATGCGGCTTCAACAAACTCTTTGGTCGTTTGTGTAATAATAATGAAAACATAACCCTTGTAATCTGAACACAAGCTTACGGCCTTTTAATCATGACCTTTCCTCTGCACTTGCAAGTCCCCTGACTACTGATATATTTTTAAAACAGACATTTAAAAATATAATAGGCATATTTGACATTGTATTGATTTTATTATAATTTGTAAGGAATTGTGAAGAAACATGGCATTAAAATAAAGATACCAAAATTTCGTCAGTTCTTTTCTGAGACGATATTTTTTTATAAACGGGTGTAGATTTTGGTGTTCATAAGAGACTTTAAGTCTGAATAAAATAGTTTTGACTTTGACAATAAACTAGGTTTTCCTTCATGTCGTAAAGAATATTATGGTAATGTGCAATAATCAATTAGTTCAAGAAGCATAACTATATAACTACAGATCGGGATATTTGTCAACGCTCTTCAGGTACGTGCGGTGATAAGTGAAGCAACGATACCCGTGCGCTGGAATTAGTGATCCCATCACCAGTCTGTGGATGCATTATCCGTCATCAGTCGGTTGTCAACTGGTTGCGAACGCCTTGTTTGTCAACCGGTGGAGTGCACTGCGTGCAAGTGCGGTTGGATCGACAAAGAATGGCATATTTCCCTACATTTCTTTTCTTTTACTAGCCCGTACAAATCGCGGAAAGTAGTTCTAGCGCTGAACTAAACGCGGAGTATCAGTACGCCAATAGCCGTAGCCGTATGCAAGTAGCAGTAACCAATCAGCTTACTTATGCGCAATAAAGGTCACCGCTAGGCTTTCGTGCCGATACGTGTAAAAGCCACTGCTTTGCCTTATTCCTCACGCTTGGCAGGCGGATGGACGATCGCAATACCAGAACTCTTGTACTTTTGAAGACATTTCGCCGGTCTGGGTATTTTACGTCTGGTGTAAACGAGACGGTTATTCCATCTATCGAGCTGAAACTTTAATTTGGTATTTGCCATAGTCACCTCTTATGACACCCGCAGGACATGGTAGACCCACACTGTAGCTATATTGTGGTTACAACACGAATGGGTCAGCTCGACCGGAGTGGGACTACGGTCTCACAGAATACCAGCGTAAAATTGCAGCTTAATGCTGCCGTGTTTCGTATGGTGAGTGTAGAGAACCGGAGGCCCTTTTGACTGACGCGTCATTCCATCTTAGTCCTTAGGGGTGACAACGCATCTGCATTTTGATTCTTAATTAAGGATAAACATAGACGACAATGGGCCACAGCATCCACTTACCACCTCACTGTGTGCTCGTTTCGCTCGTTCGTTCACTCTTGTACAGAATGTTAGTGTAAACACCCTGTTATACTTGAAACCAGTAATTTGGTTTCACTTATAGAACGTAAATTCAATGAAAAATAACAACATTTTTTTTGGTAAAATCTCAATTTTTCCTTAATTCCTCAATTTTTGCCTGTCCTAAGCCAGGATAAAAGTATGAAAGAAAAGTTACATCACAAGTTATGTGTACCTATTGTGTTTTTATTGGAATGATGTGTAGGTAGCTAGGGCGGGCGGTGATCTTTACAGTGATTACGTCACTCGGGCGCATAGGGTATCCATGAATTTAGCGTCGGACAGAAACTTTTTAAATTTTATGAAAGAAAATAGCCTTTTAAAAAAATTCGGATAAATATTTTTATATTAAAGCCAACTACCTTCGGTTTTAGTGACAACGGTGTTTACACTTACACCTGTATCAAAATAATGATATAGGGTGATTTAGGATTCTCTTTAACCGCCACAATCCACTATGCCACTATACCTAATCATTAGTTATAGACATAATGTTTTCCACAGTGTATTGCGGTCACGGCAGCCAGTCTCGATGGAGATTGGCAATCTGCACAGGACAGGATTATGGTGCACGAGTGTGTGCGCAAACACAGGTGCACTCTCTATTCTCTCTCATAGTCCGTTGAGACAACAATCCGACAAAATAAAAAGTGTTCGGAGGCAGAACCAACGGCTTACGTGCTTTCCGAGACACGGGGGTGAAAACACCACCATCTTACTGACACTGGGCTTGTACTCTCGACAGAAAATTTCAATACTTGCCCAATTTTTTGGCCCAACTCGGCATTCGTACCTATGACCCCATAATCAGCATCAGCGGTAAAACCACTCCGGCGATAAGACCTTCGAGACAGTCGGTTCTATCATAACAAACAATGTTATAATTTGTAACATTTTATACGACATTACTTTAAAACCTAAGTTATGTTGTTAAATTAAAAGTCTCGTTTCCTACATAAATTAATCAAATGCATGATAAAATTATATTCTTATCTTTTTTCAAAGTGGTCCTATTAATTAACAATGCAGGAAGCAGATAAGGAATAATAGTAATTCGTTTTCTGATTTTGTTGTAACAGTTTTTGTCTTCATCATCATCATCATTACAGCCCTTCACAAGTCCACTGCTGAACATGGGCCTCCCCCAATGTACGCCACAAAGCACGGTCCTGAGCCACCTGCATTCATCGACATCCTGTATGTCTTAACAGTTCTTTACTCCACCTAGTGGGGGTCGCCCTACACTTCGCCTACCGATCCCGATACCGATTATATCCGCAGTAGAACCGACATATCCCAACGGGTTAGTAAGCTGAAGTGGCAATGGGCCGGCCATATAGCTCGAAGAACCGACTTCCGATTATTTGTACATGTAATCTAATGATTTCTTAAATTTACGCGAACGCTACACATTGAATAAAACTACTTATAGGTACGGATTTTAACGCGTTTAATTAACTTATGGTCACGAGGGAGGGGGGGGGGTACTGAGATGTTTGACGTCTAAATGTCATAGTAAACCCGGCTACCTTCACTTTTTCAATATTAATTTTTGGTCCGATCTACATAGAACGAGCTTACAGTATCTTTAAGTCTTGCAGTAGTAGGTATGCTTGGGTTTGAGTAGATTTTACAGATGGCAGGTGCTATCACCCATTCATCGGATGTAGCTGCCTTCACTCGGTCGCTGTGACGTAGGCGTGGGACCCAAAGCTTGTTGTCTTGCAATACTTGCTTGACGTGCTCAAGCTCGCCGGCCAGATGTTTTCTGCCGCAGATCCCTTGTGCTCTCTGAAACAAAGACTTACCCACAGTAGCTAACTGTGAAGAATGATCGTGAGATTTACCATTTAATTTAACAGTGTTATCAGGATTTAGGATGTCTAAAACGTCTAGGAAAGCTAAAGAATTATTTGCCTCTAACTACATTGTGCGTTGTATTTTAGAGTTTATGGAGTTAAGGTGGTCTAAAATGCAGTTGCTTTGTCAGATGGTAAAATTGTGAGATTTTAGGATCTTGGATTTACCGGAGCAGTAAGAAAGGCTTTCTTCAAAGTCCTCCATGAATATGTCGGCGACTATAGGAGATATAGGTGAGCCCATCGCCACACCATCATCTTGCTTGTAGAACTCTTCCTTCCACAATAAATAGCCAGATGTGAAGCAGTGTTTGAGTAATACTGCATATTCTGCAGGCATGTTGTTATCTTCTAGCTTCCTAGTTACAATTGAGATGCAGTCTTCAATAGGTAAGCATGTAAATAGTGACTGAACACCAAAACTGACCATAGTTTCATTGTCAGCGAGATGTAGGTCTTTTATCTCACTAACAAAATGGTGTGAATGGTGCTGTACCTAAAAGTAGCATTATTAGTAAACCATACGGTACGTGTTTCAAATTTAGATGTACTTAATAATAATAATAATAATAAGATATTACTGAAGTTCAAGTAATACTAGAATAACAATAATCACATTATAACTTTCACTTGTTTTATGATTTTATAAATCCGTTAAAAATAGTATAATTTCGACGTGTAACATTCGCCTAAATATTAGGATATCACGTTTCAATCAAACACTTAATGCTATTACTTATTGTATAATCTACATTGGTACTATACTTTAAAAAAATGTAAAAGTCCATACTAAAACTGGCAAGTATAGATATGGTATAGCGGAATCAAACAGCCTTCTACGGTTTTTCATAATATGAAGATTGTCTTCTGTGAAGTGTCGTGAGCATAGCACACTATTTTTGGTGGGAAACCATTGGTCCCCTCGACAAGTGGCGTCGATCTACATCTTTTTTCTTTCCGGGCATTTAGGAAACCTATTACATATAGGTACCACAATGATACACCACTATTTTTTATAAAATAATGATTAAAAAAAATGCAAACGATGACCAAACGAATATCTACTTATAAATCACAACACTATCGATACACGTGCTGTCGTTAGACAAAGACAACTAACTGTAATTGTAATGAGTGAAAGGGACATTTTAGAAAGACATCAACGGGTGCTTAATTGTTATCACTTTGCACCATTATATTACCAGTATAAGTTGAACTCCGCGTGCATTTGAAATAGGTTAACGTGATAAGAATAGAATTTACTTACCGATGAAATGTTATGCCATCTTTTTGATAACTGGATGTCTTAGCTAACTTGCCACACTATTTTA